TAACTTCTTAAATTTTTTACTGCGGTAATTCTTTATGTTGAAACCCCCATAGCATGTTGCCCCTTCCTGTATATTTCTGCTTAGTTTTTACTACTTGTTACTCTGTTATTATATTGATTAACTGCACAGGTTTATGATCTTTGTCATGTCATAGCCTCGTCACTACTTCGCCGAAGTTAGGCTCGACACTTACCAGTACATGGGGTCGGTTGTACTGATACTGCACTCTGCACTTTCTGTGCAAATCTCAGTACCCGATCGTTTGAGTAGAGTTAGGTGGCTGCCTTCAGTCCAGTGGAGACCGAGGTAGTCCTGCAGGTGTCCGTAGGCCTTGGCGTCCCCTTCTATCCTGTTTCTTTTCTGTTTTATCTATTTTCGAGACAGATGTGTATTTCTGGGTAGAGTTTTATTACGGTTTCGTATTTGTATCAAGATAAACTGTTAAATTCTATTCTTTTACATTTATTCCACTTATTTTCTTATGTTAACTTATAAACTGTTAAAAGACAAAGGAAAAAGATAAAATAATCAGAAACGTTGGCTTGCCTAGTGGGTACAATGTTAGGCGATATCACGGTCCTGATGGTGAAAAGTCCGGGTCGTGACAATTTTAAAAAAAATCTTCTACCTTTCGCCTTTTTCTAGTTAAATATCCCTCGAAATGTCAGATATAGCAATCTAAACATTTTATTCTAGGCTTAGAGTTTCCTAATGAAAAAAGTGAAGCACACGTCAAATTTTCTGGTCAACATTCAGCCACAAAATTCAAATATTCATCTTAATTAAAGGAAAGATAGAAAATGCAATTTAAAACATAACATTAAGTGCACCTTTAGATAAATGTGTTTTGTAAATGTCACGCTAAAAAAAGTCAACGAGAAAAAAGATAATCTACCGAACATGTGGATACGATAAGCAACGGGTTCCGTACATACATGAACCTGCTCCACCTAATTTGGTTATCTTGTCTGATGTATCATTAATAATTGATTTCTTCATATCCATAGCGTTGAAAAATGAGCTCCTACGAGATAATACTGAGTACCTTAATTTTAAAAGAAATATTCATCAGGTCAACTTTTGGCGTCGCTGTTATTCTTTAGCAATTTTCTTTCTATTAGTTTGAATTCACCCTTGATGAGCTTTTTCTCCCTCTTCAGAATCTTTTTTATTTTATTTTTGTCCCACTAATTTAGATTTGTATCAAATAATTCGTTAAGAGGTAGAACATTTTTTATTAATAGATTCTTTATTCTAAGATTCGAACTCAAAAGGAGATCAACCATCCAACCATACATCTTCCTCCAATAAATGCAATACAGAATTTGAGTATAAGGGACATATCAATTCGTGGTATTTCAACGGCCAATGTTTAGATCTTTGGAGTTTCTATCATATGTTTGCTTTATTTCTTTTTCGTTCGTTTCTAGAGTCTTAAGTTTATCGAGAATGAGCGACATGAATCTTAACATCTCTAGTTTCTTTGATCAAAGATAGAATATATGCAGTGCATGTTACCCTAGTTTAAGATAAACAGTTGTTAAACCCAACTTGAGGACCCACTTGAATTTTAGTACTTAATAATATATATATAACTCAATTATGGTCAACGATCAGCTTGCGCTCCTATCGTATCCAGCTTTTGCACAAAATCTGGCTTATCAATTGCATCCTTTGGATCCTATTCATGACTTTTACTCTTTCAAAAACATTAAGGGATAAATCCGTACTCATCCCAAGGCAATGAAAGTATCATATTGGAAGTGGCTTGCCATCGCGACGGTGATTATTTTAAACTCGTTAGAAGTTGTTGCTGGCTGATAAAAATTTGTTATTGGCCGGGCCTAAGGTTCCTAATTTTTATTAAATAATCTATCTATCTATATACTATATTAAAAGTACGAAGGCCCTTAATGAAATATCTTTCATTTTTTTTATCCTTTTAAAATAGAGTTCACATGGGATAAAATAGTCATTTATTTATTTTACTATATTTAGGAATAATCATTTAATTAATTTCCTACTATTTAGGAATAATTATTTAATTATTAATCTAATACTTAAAACTTTTATTTTTCTTTCTTTTAGATATAAAATTTCAAACACTTTCAACTAAAACTAGGAAAGTTTTCGCTATTCAATAAAACTAAAAAAGTTTCGTCTTTCAACTAACTTAGGAAAATTTTATTCACTTTCAAGGAAAGTATCATAGGAAGTTTTTTAGTTAATAAACTTTTGACAGATTACTTCTTCAAAAAATATTAGGTAAAAACTAATTTTCTTTTTGATTTCGGAATCTTTATTTTCTGATAAATCATTAAACTATACATTGTTTTATTACTTTATGTAAATCCTTTCATGTTTCAAATTGTATAGCCAAAATTTTTTATAAAACAAGCGACAATTCTACATTTTCATCATCAAACTTTATGTTATTCGAGCAGTTCGAGTAGTAACTATAAAATTAAGAATTTTTAGGTTCTTCTTTGAGCAATTTTTTTATGGTAGTTGAATTTTGCATTCACGTGTTTATATTAGTAATTAAATTTTGCATTGACGTATTTATATTAATAATTAAATTTTGCATTTACGTATTCATCAAGTACATCTTTATTTTGGTATTCTTAATTGTGAACCTCTATTGAACATGAGGCTGTTTGGCCAAAATCTCAAAAATTATTTATATTTTTATTGTTTTATAATTTGTACAATATTTCTTATTAATTAAAAAAATAAAATAATTCACATTTTGCTTGCGAGACAAAATAAAAGATCTGTTGTAAGTTAGATGAATATCTTGTGTTTTTTTAAGAATGAACTTAAGAATATATATATTTCTAAAAAAAAATAATTCTTAAATTGTCGAGAGTTTATGTACTCTTGATGAAAATATAAAGAAACACGAGAACTTGTGAAATTATAGTAATGAATAAATCTTAAGTTGAAAATATTGACTACGATGATTGAGGACTTCTATTACCATTGTTTCTTCATTTATTATCAATAAATGAATCAATAATTATCATTTTTAGGAACTCACACTTTTTTCTTAAACTTATTTTATAACTCAAATATAATTAGTTAACAAAGTATTTATGTGATTTTTTAAAAATATATACTTATTGAGACGGGATACACGTGCAACGATATAGTATAACTAATTAATGTAAAAGAAAGTTGCTCCGCTTCTCAACTATGAATTTTCTAGACTTATTTCTTAAACAAGTGTATTAGTAATAATCACGAATTGCACTTCTGAGAGTACATATTATCTGACGGATGACTAACATTTGGATAAGACTTTTAGAAAAATAAAAAACAAAATACTGCATGTTAGATTTAACATGAAAGTTGTAGTGAAATATTTAAAGGTGGTTTAATTAATAGAATTGAATATAATTGACAATATTGGTAGATGGAATGATGTTCGTTACTGCAGAAAGTAGGAGCTATGCTTCTATTATACACGCGAAGCTAGTGATATTGGACATAAAACCACTATCCACCTGTGTCTTAAATCTTGGTAAGCAACAGTAACTCTCTGAGCACTGCCTTCTTCAAATTCTACATTACATACTCTTTTTCTACGAGATGCTCGGAATCCCTAGTGAATATGTCACAAGCTTACTCTCTCTCTTTTTTTTTTTTTTTTTTTTT